TTATCACACTAGTGATTAAAATAATTAACAATTGAATTAACTGAAAAGTTTGAATTATGTAATTGAATTACGACGTAGTTAAATTACAATGTAATCGAAATGCAATGTAATTAAACTAAATTACTAATATTATTACTTATATTAATCACTAATATTTTCACTACTGTGAGACTAATTCTACAGCTCGGTACGTTCACTCTTAATTGTCAAAAATTGAGTAATTATGCGCGCTAGTATCATAAATTTAAATATTCTGGGTCAAAATGATATGGCAACTGGACTCCGAGGGTTAATTGCGTAAGCGTCCGTGGCTACCGGCCGCTCTCGCACGCACCCGGTGTTATCTTTGTTTTTGGTTGCAAGGCAGCAACGAGTTGCCAGTTCAATGGGAGCAAAGACGAAATACAATAGTCCCTTGTTGACGTCGTCCGATTTAGAAAACACAGAGAGACCTTATCAAGTTGCAAACAATGGTTCCGATTGGTCGACAATTCGATGGCGTCTTGTGGTCGGAGACAAAGAGAGGTATTGCTGGTATACCTTATGAGTCGTTTAAGACGAGATAAAAAATTATTGCATTGTAATTATTTGTTGTAATTAGTTTATGAAACTTCTGTGCATAAAATTCTTGCAGCTTTCATATTTACAATTATGTTATAGGCATTTTAGAGACGTGGCAGTTACAATTTAACATTAACCTTACTATTTTACAATTATTGAAATTATAAGAACCTGAAATCACCCCTGAAATCATTATTTATAGATAGCGTGCATATTTATAGACTCAAAGTAACCTTTTCATTGTTACTGATATCTAAACGAAAACTTAACGAAATATTACAATTGTGTATTTCTATTTTCAATTATTTCTAATGTAGAAATATACAAATATGATATTATGTGAATTTTTTCTTAAATATACTGGATGACTCAGTTAAAAAGGTCCACCTACAGTGCTGCGAATAATTATAAACTCAAAGTAACTTTTACATTTTTACAGATGTTTAAACAAAAGCCAAGAAAAAAAACTATATTTATATATTTCTATATTAGAAATAATAGAAAATAGAAATATACGAATATGACATATCGTTCAGTTTTGTTTAAATATCACTAAAAGTGATATTTAATT